AGTCAGGCTTCCGCAGCCCCCCACGCAGAAGCTTATCATTCGCGATGATGTTTCATCAGGTGTGTCCCTGGCTGCTAAAGCCTGAAACCCTCTACTTTACGGACAGTCTTGCATGTTTTTCATGGTGCGGAGTGGGGAATAGTGACGCTAAAAGTGGCCTCAGTGATGACTTACTTAGTTCTCTGTGACTTACCCAACCACCAACTAACAGCTTGTGAGAGCCTCAATCCCACCAGACTTTTTTTTTTAATTAACTTTATTGGGGTGACTTTGGTCAACATGATCATGGAGGTTTCAGGTGGGGGTTTCTGTACGTTGCACCGTGTGCCCACCACCCAGTCATGCTTCCATCCAGTGGAAAGCAGGGAGTGGGCTGCAGTCATGTCAGTGACTGACGTGTTGGGGGAGAAACACTTTCAGAGTCAGAACTCGAAGTGGTTTTGGAAAGAGCAGGGAGACGGGGCCGTTCCCCACTCCCCAGGCTCATGGGCCCCGCGCCCCGCCCAGAGCTGCCATCCTTCTGTCCCGTGAGGTCCTTGCTGTCCTGAGGACGGATTTATTGGCTCATAGACCACGAGGCGCCAGCATCCCGGTGAACGGGGGGCATCCTGAGTGACAGGTACTTTCCTGGTGGTGACGCCGGAGACCCACGCACTCGCCCGTCAGAATGAGGACAGCTCTCCGTCGAGGAAAACGGCTCAAGTTGTTTCAACTCCATCTGCAGAGGTCTCGTGTCTCCTGCTGGAAACATCGGGCGCCATGGCCTGTTCATGATGCTTCGAATCATTTCCGTTTCCCAGGTTTCAGCAAACCATTCTCTGGAGCTTTCCGAGGGGCTGGAGCATCAGGGCTGAGACCCGGCGAGGTTGCCTGTTCCGACTGCCCTGTCGATGATCAGGGCCGGGCCATGCCTCCGCACGGGCATCCGGTCAGATTGGGACGCGGGCCCTCATAAGGGCTGTGGTGTAGTCTTTGCTCCCGCAGGCTGGACGCACGGGGAATAGGAATGTCTGTTGTTACCCTCCGACTCTAACCACGTTTCATAAATGAGCCCGCTGCTAGAGGCCCCAGTTTTTACATTGGAAATGATCAGAATGTACATCTGCAGATGATACGGCACAAACGCCCTGATATGTAAGCATTTCTCTGTTTAATTGTCGCTTCCTGGCAGGGGGTCGAACCCTTTAGAAAGAGTGATTGTGTTCCCGGAGGTCAGGGCGCCTGGTGATTCGGGGTCTGGGTGTGTGTGAGCAATGGATGCTCTGGAAGAGCTCGAGGCCCTTTCTGTGGAAACTGTGCCTGCGCCATGACCATTCCCTCTTCTAGATGTTTCTACTGAGAAACAGTGTGGCTTTCCTATCAGATGGTGTGTTACACAGCCTCCTTGTAGGAAGTCTTTAGAGCAGTTCTTTTGTGTGTGTATATCTTTCCCCTGTTGAATTTTGTGTCTAAATCAGGGGTGGGGAATGCCTGGTCCGCAGGCCGTATACTAGTAAGTCCGGGTTCAATTCTGGCCAAGGGCACGTACCTCCGTACCTCGGATGCAGGCTTGACCCCAGGCCCCGGTCGGGGCACATGTGGGACACAACCCATCGTTGTCTCTCACATCGATGTTTCTCTCTCACTGTCTCGCCCCTTCCTTCCACTCTCTCTGAAAATCAATGGAAAAATCTCCTCGGATGAGGATTGAAAAACAAACAAAAAATGTTTGCCCCAATAGAGCAGCTAACTGCTCCGTGGACGATTCTGTGCGGCCCGCAAGTGAGGGTCTAAACATCCGAATGGCCCCTGGCAGGGAAAAGGGTCCCGCCCCCGGAAGAAACACCTTTGAGCTGCTGAGCGCTACAGTCGTGTGCGTCACCGTGTGGCTGCCACCGTGAGTTAACGACGTTACACATCAGTGTCGCTGGACGGGACCTTTTTCTTCTAAAACTGCCCCGAATGAGCATCTGCTACACATGGTTCTCTGCAGACGCTAATGAGTGTTGTGCACAGTGATGGCCAAGGCGCCTCCTCTCCAGGTGTCTGCCGGCCCCCACCTGCTCCGCTCACACCTCCATTTCCGCTGGGACTAGAATAACGATGAAGAGCAAACAGCCTAGCTTGTTCTTCCCAGAACTTCTCCAGTCCCGCCTCTGTCCGGAGGCCAGAGAGTTAGCGGCTCTGTCTCCTAAGGGACTAGGTATTTTTTTGTTTTGTTTTGTTGTTGTTGTTAAATTTATTTTTATTGATCTCAGAGAAGAAGGGAAAGGCAGGGAGAGAGAGAAACATCAATGATGAGAGAGAATCATGGCTCAGCTGCCTCCTGCACACCCCCCACTGGGGATGGAGCTCACAACCTGGGCCTGTGCCCTGACCGGGACTCGAACCTCAACCTCCTGGTTCCTAGGTGGACGCTCACAGGTTGACCCTGGCCAGGCTCAGGCACTAGGTTTGGCATCCTGCTGTTGCCGCCTGCTCCTTCCTGATGTTTGGGTTCTGGGTCGTGCACATGGTGGGTGTTTCTCTAAAAGGGCTTCCCCACCCCGACCCCCTATCCTTTTAGGCCCAGGGAGGGCTCCCCGTGCTGGGCGTGTGCTTCCGCCAGCGCCTGGCTCTGTGCCCTGTGCAGGAGGCATGGTTTCTGACCCGAAGTAGCCCCACCCATGACATAAACCCGCTCTGCACTGCTGCTCACGTCACTCCAGGTGCCTGGGCACTGCCCAGCTCTGGCCCAGGGCCCTCAATCGTTCGCAGACGTGGTGGGTCACCCTGTGAGTCCCTCTCCATCTGCAGCTCCGTTCCTGGGCACGCTTGTATGGGTGTGTTTGTCTCCAGGGTGTCACTAGGGGATGTAGCCACAAATGCCAAGCATCTCCGTGTCCTCAGCTTCTAACCTGCACAGACTACACGGTGATGCCGGGGTGGGAGGGGATGGGATGGGATGGGAGGCGGCTCCGTCTGCATTTCCAGCGCCAAGGCCTGAGGGAGCGCCCCTGGGATTTCTCTGATCGCGCACTGATTAATATATTTTTGTTTGTTTTTTATTTATTCTGAAATTTTGTTATAATTTCTGCAGGTACAGATATAAATGCAAGTTACTTCTATTACAGGATGAGTTGGATTTACACATAAATTTCAAGGAAGGAGAAAATGAAAATAAATTAATATACAGTAAATGCACTTAAATCAGCATGTAATAAACAGAGCAAATAAGTAAAGAACCATTATTTGTGAAGCAAGGGGGATGTAGTAATGGAACTTAATATTGAATAATGTGTCACAGTTGCTTTCTTTTAATTTAAACATCTTTTTCTGGGCCCTTTGCACATGTTGGGGTTATGCTCTGGCCTCAGTCTGGCCTGGGGTGACCTTGATGTGTTATCACCCTAAGCAAGCCCTTCCCTATCCCACTCCGCAATTAGACATTTTACACTGAGAGACTTTACGTGCCTTTTTTCAGAGCCAAATAAAACATTAAGTGATCTACGGGAGTTGATTTTGCCAATTTTTGATAGAAGGGGAAATTCAATGTAGCTGTGATCTGTATTCTAACGTTAAAAGATGGAGAGAAATGAGATGTAAACCAATGAAACAAGTTAGAGGCCTAAGTGGCTCTATTTTTTCATATTTTGCAATTTTACGGTCCATGAAAAGCCCCAAATGTGCTTGGAATAAAAAAAATAATGCCACTTAATGCCTCTGGCACTGTCTGCCTTTAATGTGCGGCCGTTCAGGGAGAAACCAGTTCTGACGTAGGGGGCGTGCTGTGGCTCAGCCCTGCGCCCGCAGACAGACCGATGGGCTCCCAGCCCCTCCTGACCAGGTGTCCCCGAAGCCTCCGGGTTACGGTGGGGGGTGAGGGCACCGCCCTCCCCTCGTCCCATCGCCCAGGTTTGGGGGAAGCTGAGGTGACGTGGGGGATCTCGGACGTTGTCCCCAGGGACGGGGGCCTGTCCTGTGCAGACTGGACCCGGCAGCTCGGGCCAGGCCAGCCCCCGGCTCCCCACGCGGTGCTCAGAGGCTGGGAAGTGGAGGAGATGGCTCCCTCCTTCCCCCTGCAGGCGGGTCTGCAGGCTGGGGCTGGGCAGCGGACCGGCCGCCTGGGCTTCCCTGAGCCCAGGCCCGGGGTCACCTGGTCCGTGTGGCTCAGTGGTCGAGTGGCATCGTGTGCCCTGAGAGTCACTGGTTCAGTTCCCCGTCAGGGCACATGCCCGGGTTGCAGAATTGATCCCCAGTAGGGGGTGTGTAGGAGGCAGCTGGTTGATGTTTCTCTCTCTCATCCATGTTTCTCTCTCCCTTCCTCTCTCTCTAAAATTATTTTTTTAAAGATATTTAAAAAAATAAAATAAACCTGGTGTCAGAGAAGACTTCCTAGGGTGATGGGAGAGATTGCACTGTACGTACACTCTCCAGATCTTTAGCGCCATTCCCAATGCATTTCCGGTTTTATAAAATGCCATTGCTGCGTGTTGTGTTTATTGGTGTAATGGGTTTATACAGATGATTGTTAAACAATATTAGCGCTAATTTACCTGACCTTTGAGGCCGAATTCCTGTATCCTGTGACACATTGGAATGTTGTTAGCGCCTTCACCAGAGACCGGCTCGTCTGGGCAGGTCCCTGGTTGCACCTTCAGGGCGGAAGTGCTGGCCTGCTCACCGGGAGCAGCCTGTTCACGGGACTGCTCCCCGTTGTCTTTAAATGAGGGGGAGCTGGAACACGACGCATTTGTTCTCATATTAGTTTTCTGAAAGAGTCGGGTTCCCAGGTTCACACTTAACACTTTTCACAAAGACTGTTCATGTTTGTACCGTATTATTTGAAGAACAACAAACAAGAGAAGTGTCATGGGGGTTGCCTCTCACAGGGACCATCATTCTGTAAGGCCTTTGCAAATTGTGTGCGCGAGGATCGAGGCGTTCAGATGGAAGTGGAAGTAACAAGTTTTACTGGAAGAAATCAAGAATAAAATCAGTTAATATTTAAAATGAAATCTATCACCATTAAAACGAAACGAATGAACACTAAGAATGTGCTCACAGCTGATTCAGGGTCCCTCACCGTCTTCTCGGGAGGCTGCGCTTCCTGCAGGGGAGCAGTGGGGGCGCCAGGACGAGGCAGGTGTGAGAACAGCGTTGTGTTCCTACCTCCTGTGTCTGTTTTCACAGCCGTGGGCCTCGCCGCCTGCCAGGAGCCAGCCCTGCCCAGCAACGGGCTCAAGACGGGCGACCGGTACATGGTGAACGACGTGCTGGCCTTCCAGTGCGAGCCGGGGTACACGCTGCAGGTGGGTGTGAACACTGCAGGTGGGTGTGAACACAGCAGGTGGGTGTGAACACTGCAGGTGGGTGTGAACACTTCAGGTGGGGGTAACGCTACAGGTGGCTGTGAACACTGCAGGAGTGTGTGAACACTGCAGGTGGGGGTAACGCTGCAGGTGGGTGTGAACATTGCAGGTGGGTGTGAACACTGCAGGTGGGTGTGAACACTGCAGGTGGGGGTAACGCAAGTGGGTGTGAACACTGCAGGTGGGTGTGCACACTGCAGGTGGGAGTAACGCTGCAGGTGGGTGTGAACACTGCAGGTGGGGGTAACGCAGGTGGGTGTGCACACTGCTGGTGGGGGTAACGCTGCAGGTGGGTGTGAACACTGCAGGTGGGGGTAACGCAGGTGGGTGTGAACACTGCAGGTGGGTGTGAACACTGCAGGTGGGTGTGAACACAGCAGGTGGGTGTGCACGCTGTAGGTGGGAGTACACACTGCAGGTGGGTGTGAACACTGCAGGTGGGTGTAGCACTGCAGGTGGGGGTAACGCTGCAGGTGGGGGTTACGCAGCAGGGGGGTGTCAGGGGTTCTCCTCAGGGTCCTCCCGCTCACAAAGGTGAGAGCCCAGGTTCCCACTTGCACAGCGACACCTTTTCAAACCCAAATGCTGCCCTGCTGACCTTTCACCCTTCCATGGAAACTTCGTATTTCCGGGCCCTGTCCAGCCTCTGAGTGTGAGAGCTGTAACTTCTGATGATGGAATAAAGCAACACACAGTCCTTTGCTCAGTTCACATCCCCCCTGCGCCCCAGGAGAGGGGCCGGCGGGGCCATCACTGCTGACGGGGGCGTGGGAAGTGTGTTAAACGAGGAGAAATAGGTTATTCTCTTTTGAGTCAAAATACGTGATTCGTGAATGACAGTGCTATAGGGACACGTCCAACTTCTGGAAAAGTGTCGCCCTGGCCATGACCCCCAGAAAGGACGGCCCAAGCGAGGACAGTCTCGTCACAGCACCGACCCTCCGGCCGGCCTGGCCGCGGTCTCACTGCGCCTCCTCTCTCCGCAGGGCCGCTCGCACATCTCCTGCATGCCCGGCCCGGTGCGCCGCTGGAACTACCCGCCACCGCTCTGCCTCGGTAGGACCCCGTCCGCGGCCTGTGGCCCGTCCAGACCCCGTGGGCAGCGCCCTGAGCCACTCCCCTCCCCCCCTCCTGGTCCCCACAGGGAACAGCCAGTCCTGCCACCCCCACCCCCGCTCACTCCCTCCACGGGCAGTGCCCTGCCTGCCACCTTAAGACCTGACACAAGAGGGAAGATCAGCAATAACAAACCTGTCCTTTTTAAAAATATATTTTTATTAATTTCAGAGAGGAAGGGAGAGGGAGGGAGAGAGAGAAAAACATTGATCGGCTGCCTCCTGCACACCCCCCACTGGGGATCGAGCCCGCAACCCGAGCATGTGCCCTGACCAGGAATCGAACCACGACCTCGTTGTTCATAGGTCGATGCTCAACCACTGAGCCATGGCGTCCCGTCCAGGTGAACCTATCCTTTTTAAAAGTGTCCATTATGTTTATCTTTTTTTGCATCACTTTTGATTTTTCCAAAGATGGCACTGACATGTCAGCCAGGGCAGGCACCCTCCTCAAGTTCACAGGGAAGGAAGGGCTCCTGGCCGCAGCCACGGCCTCGGCCAGCGGGTCCCTCCTGCAGGCGAGCACAGTGCCACCGGGAAGCTCTCTCCTCCACGGGTCTGACTTCCTCACGTGGAGGAGCCACGTGACGTTGTGGGGTTGAATTCCTCTCTATGGTCCCGAGGATCTCAGAGACAGAGCCCCGTCCCCGTCCCACAGCACGGCGCTGTGGCACACAGTGGGCCCGCAGTCATTTCGATTCGCGAATGACCGGCAGCGACTGCCCATCAGAGAGCGGGTGGTGAGCAGTCACTCGGCCCCCTCTCGGAGCCCCTCCCCAGGCTCAGACGCTGAGCACCGCGTGGGACACACTCAGAAGCCTCCAGCGTCAGTCCGGCCCCCGCAGACACCCTCATCACGGGGGCGGGCCCAGGAGAGCAGGGTCCACTCTCACGGACAAATACGGGCAAAGGGAAGACCACCGTGCCCCCCGAGAGTGTCCCCTGAGAGTGTCCCCGAGCTGCCACGGGAGGTGTGTGGCCTCGGAGGGCGCGGGCGCGGAGCACCCCTGCCTGAGCCTGGCTCCCTCCCGCCCACTCTGGCTTCTAAGGGTTTCTGTCACACACAGCGTGACTGCCCTGAACAGGAAGCGGACGGACGGAGTGTGCGCGAAAGAAAATAGACCTGAGTCCAACCACTTAAACAACAAACTCCCGCCGTCAGGAGTCGCCCAGCAGCACGCCCGCGGGCTGTGCTCAGAGCATCGTATCTGTTGCCAAGAGAAACAGTGGTCCTTAGTGACCAAGGCTTTATGAGGGAAAGTGATTTCTGGGTGAAAATAAATGTCTAGACTTCAGAGCCCGTAAACATGTGAAGGTATCCGTGTGGGATTTAAACTCCCGGCTCGATCTGGACACGGGGACCAGGGTGGGACCTCGGGGACGCCTGCTCCCTCCACGCTTCCTCTCACTCTCATCGCTCTTCCTATTCGTTTCAAATGAAGAACCTTCCCTTAAACTGGGAATTTGATATTTTAAACCTTGAGCTGAAATTACTCACAAGGAGTGTGCAGTCGAACCCTGTGCCATGGCCGGCGTGTGCATTCCCGGAGGAAATGTCTCCTTTGAGCCGTTACCCTGTACCGGCCAAGTGTAGGCGGTTTGTATCTTTTCCTAATGTGCCTCGGTGTGAGCACAGAGGGAAGGTGCATGGTCCCCCTCACACCTGCTGGCTCCGCGCCCCTCACCAGGCACAGGGAAAGGTGGTCCTTAGCGACGGCCCAGGGGCCCGAGAGCTGGCGGTGACGGACGGGAAGGTCTCCTGCGGTTTCAGCGCGTTGCTCCCCGTGAGCCCGGCTGGGGGGTCAGGACTGGGACTCACACAGAGACGACAGTGACTTCCGGGCTCTTGGAAATCTGTGTTTTGAGAAATCATAGTCCTCAGAAAGAAACTCACATGTAACCTGTGCTCCCTCCGGCAGCGACGTGCGGGGGGACGCTGAGCAGCCTGGCCGGCGTGATCCTGAGCCCCGGCTTCCCCGGCGCCTACCCCAGCAACCTGCACTGCAGCTGGCGCATCGCCCTGCCCGTGGGCCACGGTGAGTGAGCGCGCAAGGGGGCTCCGAGCACCCACTCTCCACTCCCAGCCGAGCAGCGCGGCTGAGGGAGAGCGGCCTGGTGCTGCTGACGTGAGGGCGGCTGTACCTGGAAGTGGGGGACGGGTTTCCACGAAGCTGGGGCCGAAGGACGTGGAGAAGAGGAAGGGTTTGGGGACAGCGACGGGGCGTAGGACTCGTTCCAGGCAAAGCCAGTCCGCGGGGTGCTGAGACGGTAAACACGGGGAGTGCGCATGGGCACCATGTCAGGCCAGCCTCTCTCTGCGTCACCCCCTCTGTCCACCAGGACTCCGCAGCAGTCAGTGTGCGTTTGGAACAGTTTTAAGGCTTTTTCAGGTGACGGCACATTTTCGTTTGTTTTATAAATTAATTTTTTCACTTCAGAGAGAGGAAGGGGGAAGGAGAGAGAGACAGAAACATTAATGATGAGAGAAACATCATTGATCGGCTGCCTCCTGCATGCCCCCTACCGGGGATCAAGCCTGCAAATGCCCTGACCGGGAATCCAAGCATGACTTCCTGGTTCATAGGTCAACAACGCTCAACCATTGAGCCGTACCGGTCGGGCTAAAATGTTTATATTGTCTTGATTTCTGTTTATAGAAATGGCTTTTCATAACATTCAGCTTTGAACGCTCAGGGTAGTCATGTATTGCTAATAAAAGCGTAATATGCTAATTAGACCGGACATCCTTCCAGACGACCTGGCTGCGAGGGAAGCCCGGGTCCCGGGTGCCGGAGGGAAGCCGGTGCCGGCAGCCGGGGAAAGAAGGCCTGCTCTTGCACAGATTCGTGCCCCAGGCCTCTAGCCTTCAATAAGTCCTGATTTTAGCTGCTGTGTAGCTGGCAGCTCACCTTGGCCTTCTGCGGAAACACACGGTTTTTGTGAAAGTTGGATTTCCCATCATGCCTTTCCCTGACGGCCTCGTGGTTGCCTTTGCGTTCTAGTTCATCATTGGGGTTGTCCCACCTGCGGTTTCTGAAGAGCAGCGCCTGCGATGGGCGTGTCACAGACACTCGGGGTCCGGGCCGGGTCCCTGAGGTTCACTCACTAAGTCATGGTCGCCTGGGGATGTCGGGCGAGACGCATGAGCACAGCACACGGACATCGCTGCCTGGAAGGAGGTCGTGTTGTAGGATGTGCTCAGAGCTTTGCCCGGAGGCCCTGTGCCGGGGGCAGCGCGGCTGTTCATGGAAGGACGAGCAGCGGCCCGCAGGCCGGGGGCAGGCGTGAGGACAGGAACATGCTGTGCACAGACATGGAGCATTACTCCAGGGAAAGATGGGGGCCTGGACGGGCACCCCCAAATGTGAGGCTCATGTCTACTGGACGGGCACCCTATGTGTGAGGCTCATGTCCACTGATGGGCACCCCACATGTGAGGCTCATGTCCACTGATGGAACCCCCACGTGTGAGGCTCATGTCCACTGGACGGGCACCCCACATGTGAGGCTCATGTCCCCTGGTTCTGATTCTCGCTGTGGGGGCCTGGGGGTGCGATGTGGGGGTGCAGTCGTCTGACTCGGGAATCGGGGGTGGGAGAGACAGGGCTGTGTTTCCTTCTCAAGCTTCCTTATTGAAGTGCAATCGTATGTGACCCTCAGGCGTGCCCCCTAGTGACTCGGCACCTATAGCGCTTACACTGTGATCACCCTGATATCCTGGCAGCCCCGTCACCCTGCAGAGCTATCACAGCCCTGGCTCTGTTCCTGGGGCTGCGTGTGAATTCCATCCCGGACGGATGTGCTCATAACGGGGAGTCTGTCCTATTCTCGCCCACCTTTTCCAGCCATTCCGTCTCCTCCCCGCCTGGCGACCCCCATCTGTTCTCCGTGTCCCTGAGTCTGTCTCTGTCTGGTCTGTTTCTTCTTTGTGAGGCGCATTCACTCCATTTGCCACGCCCCGTGGGCCCAGGTCCCATCTCCGCTGCAGCTGCGGCCGCATCTTCCCGGGAAGCACATGGCCCTGAGTGGTGACCCCTCCCGTGTGGGGACCCCTCCCGTGTGGGGACGCGTCTGAGTGTGACCCTCCTGTGTGGGGACCCGTCTGAGTGGTGACCCCCTAACCCCCCGTTGTGGGGACGTGTCGTTCACGGTCAGAGGCTCGCGGGGGCTGACCCCAGCCCGCCCCTGGCTTTGTGCCGCTTTCTTTCCTTTCACACAGTCGGATGCTGGTGCGTGTTGCTTTCGTAGGAGCCCAGCCGACTCAGAATTTCTCTGTTGTCGTGAGTGAGGGTAGACAGTGCGGGCACCGCGGTTCTCTACCCGCGAGTGCGCACCCAGAATACAGTACCGTGAAGGAGAAGTATGTCAGTGTTAAGTTTTCAAGAATTAACTGCACAGCCGGCCGGTGTGGCTCAGTGGTTGAGCATCGACCTATGAACCAGGAGGTCATGGGTTCGTCTCCTGGTCGGGGCACAGGCCCAGGTTGCGGCTCGATCACCAGGAGGGCACATGCAGGAGGCAGCCCATTAGTGATTTTTTCTCATTGATGTTTCCATCTCTCTTTTAAAAAATCAATTAAGAAATATAAAGCGTGTTTTCCCAGTATCCGGGGAGATGACGAAGGGGAGCTAGGTTATGCGGATCTCAGTCCCGTGGGGTTCGCTCTGAGATGTCAGACTGGACCAGCTGGCTGAAGAGGAGAGCGCAAGGCACCCCTGAAACGGATGAGGCCGGGGCGCCGCTGTCCCCACGTGCCAGGGGCTGCTGGGTGTGGACGCTGTTCTGCTCCCCATGCTCATGGGCTCATGGGGTTGCAGTGTCATCACTCCATTCCCAGCTTAACCCCACGCCCTGGGCGGCTGTCACTGGCCCCCGTGCGCTGGCAGCCTGGGCACCTCTAATAGTTTCCCCGGATCGGCTGCTTTCATTTCTTCCTCGACGGTGTCACCTCGTGAATTTCAACCCGTCCCCTGGATAAGCCATCTGCCGGCTGCCACCGGGAACAGGCATATTGCACCACTTCCCTGCGATTCGCTTCTAACCCAAAGTGAAAGGGTGTGAGTGTAGGCCGGCCTGGCCCTCCTTCCCGCACAGACGCGGGTGGGCGTGCGGCGACTCAGCAGCTGTGTCTGCCAGGCCCAGGTCCAGTCTAATCCAGCTCCTGGTGATGGGTGTGATGGCGTTGAAGGAACTGGGGGCCACAGGAGTCCGGGGCCGGTACAGTCACACACACACACACACACACACACAATGTCCAGCCGTGGGCAAACTACGGCCCGTTTGAAATGAATAAAACTAAAAAAAAAAAAAAAAAGACCATACCCTTTTATGTAATGATGTTTACTTTGAATTTATATTAGTTCACACAAACACTCCATCCATGCTTTTGTTCCGGCCTCCGGTCCAGTTTAAGAACCCATTGTAGCCCTCGAGTCAAAAAGTTTGCCCACCCCTGGACAGTGTGTGTATTAGAGACCACACTCTCCCTTAGAGCTGGGACCTCACAACAACAAAGGCTGGTTTTACTGGTAATTCAGCAGCTGGTGAGCAGCCACACAGGCTCTGGGTGCAGCTCCCTAAGCAGCGGGGTGTCCCCCATCACAGCCTGTGGGGGGACAGGCCAGAAGTGAGGGGCGGAGAGGGCACTGGCCATCCTTCCTTCCCCCTTCCCCCCTCCCCCAGCTTCTCCCCGTCCCCACCCAATCTCTCCATCTCTCTCTGCCTCTTTGTTCCCTGCTTCCGACTTCCTTTTGCATGAACACATTTGCTGGGATTTAGAAGAAAACGGCGGCGCGTCGTTGTCTCTTCAAGGAAACCCTGTTTGCTGTTCAAGTCGTCGCGGAGCTTCAAGTCCACAGAGGGGCTGCCTTTGGAGGCGCCTTGTGCCCCCAGGCGGAGCCCCCCGGCCCCTGCCGACCGGGACCTGCCTCCTGGCTACGCCCGCACACGCGTGTAGAGTCAGATGACCCATGTGCATTGCATTCCACCTTCTGAAACGATGCTACATTGTGGTTGACGTTCAAGGTCCCTCTTCCCTCCCGTTTCCTCTGCTCCCTGCCCCCTCGGGTCTCCTGGGATCCCACCTGCTCCTTCTCCCCACCCTTCCTCTTCCAGCCCGGGCTGGGCAGTCTGGTCAGGAGTTTCCCCCGAGAAGGACTGGCGACTGGTGTCGTTCCAGCTCATGAGGCTGTTGCTCTTGTCTGCACGTCGCCCGCTAAGCCGGGACAGGGGAGGGCGCTGTCCGCCAGAGTGGGCGTGCCGGACGCTGTGTCCCCCGCTGCCCTGGGCACCCCACCGCGCCCCTCTGAGCCTGGGCCTGCTCCCTGTGACTTTGCGAGGACAATAATAGTGACTTCCTGGGGAACTGGGGGACAAGAGCTCCGGGTACGTCGGATCCCGGACAGGCAGTCGGCCGAACACTGCGCCCAGCCAGCAAGGGCGCTATTTCTCCCTCCTCACATTCCCGCATCGCTGAGTTGGAGGTTGGAGGACGGTGCGTTGTATTGAGCAGTGTAGATGTCTCTTCCCTCCTGCTGTTCCCTGAGGCTTTCTCCTTCCCTTCCTCTGCTTCTGGCCCAGGACAGCCCCGCTTCCTGCCACCACCACGCGGGCAGGTCTGCTTTCCGTTCTCAGCACTTGCCCTTGAGGGGGGGCAACACGTGCGCATTATCTCTGGTCTCCAAGCCCCGGAAACGAGCCTGCGAGATGGAAAGAGAAATGAAAGCCCTCCTTATCTTTCACGAGCAGGAGAGTAGCACGGGGAACGCTTTTCCGAGGCGCCGGCGGAACAATCCGGGAGCTGTCGAGCTCCTGGGAGGCTGTACCAGCCCGTCACTCGCATCGGTTCATGTAAAAACGCACGCTTCAGGCGCTATCTCAACCGGTGACGAGAGCCGGGCCTTTCAGATACAGTCGTCAAGTGAATGTTCCCGATGCCACGGCCCAGCATCCTGACGCCGCCGTGCGCCCGCCTTACCCGCCGTCCCTTATCTCGCGCCCGGGTCCCGTGGCCGCAGCGGCCGGGTCACTGGACTGTCTCCCGTCTGTCTCCCGGGGCCAGGCTGGGAGATTGGGCTGTGGGAGTGACGGGTCCAGCGGATGGGTTTCCTGCAAACAGCGGTGACTTGCTTTGCTTGCAAAACCAAGTGAACGCACGGCTCCTGACCGGGCAAACCCCTGGCCGCAGCCGGGCGCTGAGAAGCCCCTGGAGGGTCCGTTGGTTTGTGGCGCTGAGTTCTGGGCGGCATCGGTCCCGTCCTTGGTGCCGCTGGGTGACCCGGCAGCGAGTCCCACCCCGAGTGTGTGCTGTGAGCGTTAGAGCAGCAGCGGGCAGAACCCGCCTCCGGCCCAGGGCCAGGCAGCGGTGCCCGTGTCCCCGTGGCACAGCTGGTCGCAGGCCTTCTTCACAGAGAGTGACTGGGACTCTAATGGCACGGATGAAGGTCCCACAGCTTCGAGGGGGCGGCGGGAATGGAACCGCGTCTATTTTAATCCGAAACGAGCGAGTGGCCTCCTCCGCGGTGCCCTGTGCCCCCGGAGGGACGGCGTTTGGGGACGGGGATCAAGGGGCAGTCACTTCTGATGAGCTCGGCCTCTAAGCGCCGACCGTGACGCTCCCTTATCTCACACGTGTTCCCACAGGTGCGCACATCCGGTTCCTGAACTTCTCCACGGAGGCCAACCACGACTTCCTGGAGATCCAGAACGGGCCGCACCCCACCAGCCCGCTGCTCGGCCAGTTCAGCGGCCCCGACCTGCCGGCCGCGCTGCTCAGCACCACGCACGAGACCCTCGTCCGCTTCTCCAGCGACCACTCCCAGAGCCGGCAGGGCTTCCGGCTGGCCTACCGAGGTGAGGCCCACCCCCCCAACTCCCCCCCCCCACACACACACACAATGCACGGACACTGTACCGCTGGACTCGTTTGGGGGGCACAGTCCATGTCGCCCTCACTGCCCACCCGCTGCCCTCAATCTCCGTGGCCACCACCACACTCCTCCAGGCACGTGGCTTCATGGTCACGTTGTCTCCTCGCCTGCCATTGTCCGCCTCGCCACCTGGAGGTCGGGTCCCCCCAGGACAGCGGTGTGGACGTCCCTCCATCGCGGCCGTGGGTGGGGCAGGGTCTCCCACGCACTGGCCTCTTCCCAGCCTGGAATCAGGGCCCTGTGGGCTGTCCAGCCCTTGTTCCAATTAAGCCAGGAAAAAAGGCAGTGAGCGGACTGTATTCTTCCTGAGCGATCAAAGTCTGAGATCTCTGAGGAAGGTTTGGTCAGCCATTCTAGCGTTCTTGACGTGTGAAAAAGTTCAACATGTTCATTCCATACCCAATAATTCCGCTGGCCTTTTCCTGACTATTGTTAAGTCGGATGAAGTTGAAAATGTCAAAAGTAGGGCCTGCTTCTTTGAAGTGGCTAAATCACTGGTTTTCTCGGAGACAGAGCTACACTCTTTCATTCCTGAAGGGACTTTTGGACCCTATTGCCGAAGTTGTTCCTATAAATTATAGGTATAGAGTTCCAGAACTGGGGCCCTTAAAGCAGGAACCGGACAGAAGGGGAATTGAAGAGGGAGGTGAAGGCGCCCGTGAGGACTGTGATGGGCACCTGCCAGCACGGCTCCACGTGCCCCGCGCCTGCCCACTTCTCGTCCCCACGCCACCCTCCCTCAGTCCGATCCGTTCACACCAGCAACAGTGACAGTTTAGCGTTGATCGGCTTAGATTCCGAGTGCAGATCAGGGCGGAACTGTTCCAATATTTAACAAACTATCATGACGGTGTCTCGTAACGTACCGAGTTCCCTGTAACCTACACCTGTTGTCATGTATGTAGATTTTCTTGAAGGGTAGCTACCCATTCCTTAGGCTGGATCTAGAATTCAGTGTCTGGGCTTAGAGGCAGGGTTCCAATAAGACGAGTTCTGCATTAAGCAGTTTCATTGTTTAGTGGGAAATGCATATCCTTAATGCAGATCTTCGAGACCAAAGCAAATCCAGTGTGAGACTTCCTGTCGCTGAGAAATAGCAGGAGTTGAGGGAACACTCTGTGCTGGGGGGCGGGGGGG